TCTCTCCATCCCTTGTATAGGGAGGGTAGGTGCCTAAGCTGAAAGCTGTTATCTCCACATGGCAGCAGGTGCTCAAAAATGTGGTACAGCAATGCTGGCCGAAATTCCCCGTGTGAATCTAGCCCTATGAATTTTGTGCATATCACCTCATTATTATACCTAAAACATAATCACCTCATTATTATACCTAAAACCTAATCTCCAATTACTAAATATTTTCCTTAGCATTTCTAGGAAGAATAACAAATAAGACTGAGAAATAAGGGCCAATTTTTAAAATTTCAGTCCTCATTTCAGAGCGGGACTAGAAAACCTGACACAGACCTATACCTATTTGTATAGTAGAGTAGATATACAGTTAGTTTATATGGCGACTGTGTATACCGTTAAAAATAAATCATTAAAAATCTGCTTCTTCAGTGTGCAGGAACTCTTTTAGCATCATCTCAATTCTAGTCAGAAAGAATGCTTTTAAATAGTCCATACAGTTTCCTCATAGATTTAATTAAAGACGAAAAAGCCAATTTGTCCAAAGGAAGCATCAACCTAAATGTTCACCCACATAGTCACCTTACTTTTCTGGGGTTAGGTTATCATACTGTTAAGTACATTGAACAGGGCCTGAATACTGAGTAATCCTATTGGAGTCAATTGAGGGGTAAGGTACTGTGTGCTGTGAGTAAATGCATCACAATCTGGAAATATCTGAGTAAATACTGCTAGTCCTTCTTAGAGCCTTTCTGGCTTCCATTTTGTATTTTTAAACTTAGCAATGGGGAGAGATCGGGAATGTCTGCTTTTGTGTGTGGAAAACACAGAATAGAGGTTCTGAGGGCAGGAGGACAAAATGTCTGGTTCAGGAGATTCAGAAGAAGAAAAAGCATTATTTTTATGAAGTTACCACAGTTCTGAATTCATGTAGTAACTTGATAAAAAGTTAAATGTTGCTGCCAGTTTCATGGCTTTATAACCGCATTAATTTTGAGACTGTGAGCATTGTGGGTTTCAGATCCCAGGTTCATTGAGCAGCATTTGCAGTTAGAACAAGGAAATGCAGATCCTAATTGAAAACTCAACGTGCTGATGATCTGTGTGCAAATTGGGCCTGTAATCTGGAATTCTATTAAGCCAATAAAGGTAATACTATGTTTTCAGATGCTTTTTGAAGCACAATCACACTTGAAGGTATTTTAAGAAAAATCAACTTGTCTGTTAAAGATGCAGAGCAAAGATATATGTACCGCTTGTACCACTGCTGTACATTTTGTGTTTAGCTGCAGTGGCAACTTAGTAGAATCTGATGGATTTGGTGGATTCCTTTTATTGACTTGCCACCATTTAAATTTGCTTTTCTTTTATATGATAGGGTTTCAAAATGCAAATAAGGCAAAGAAGGCTATGTATAAAATCCATCAAATTCCACTGGGCTGAGCCCCAAGGTTGAGTAAAGATGCCAATTAGTATTCACAATACTGACTTCTAACGAGCATGAAAAGCAAGTGCTAGTGAAAAAGCAAAATCCATGTAATTCTACAATTTGTCAAACTCTGTAATCTTGACTGTATTTTGAAATAATACAATAATTTGTAAGGGATTTTTGAACCCCATTAATATACTTTTCAAAATGTAAGTGACAGCATAGCAAACCGTCAAATATCAAGAACATTTTATATACCAAGAAGCAAGAACTCACACTAATTATTTCCTTGTTCTCACTAGTTTTGTAATTTTACACATTTGCTTATGCAATCATTGAAGCAGACCTAGATCTATATGCATAGTATAGTAGATACACAGTTAATGTGGAGACTTTGTATACTGTGAAAAATAAATAAATAAAAATCTGCTTCTTAAGTTTGCAGGGACTCTTTTGGCACCATCTCAATTCTAGTCAGAGGGAACACTTTTAAATCAATTTTAAGACACACAAGTATCCTTTGGTCCCTCTTGAGTAAAGATTTCTTAGTTTATTAATTTTAGCATCATTGCCCTTATACTACCACTTTCCAAAACTGGAAGAAAAACAGCATTAAAATCAGCCATCAATCAAAGGAGAAAAACATGTATTTAAAGACTGTAACCAAAGTAGGTTAATAAGATATTTAGGTACCTCCATGTACAGATCTGTCAATGCAAATAAATAATCTTTTGACTATTGTATCTGAAATTTGATACAAATACTCCTTATGAAGTATATACATAGCGCAATCAGGTCAAACAGTGACCTTATGCTGAATTAAATAGCAGCAAATACAATGGTCCATAGTTTTATCCTTTAAAAACTCATTATTGTTTATGGCACTTTTATGCAAAATTAAAAATGGGTAATCGATTCCACTCATGTCTACTGAATCAAATTTTTCATCTTTTTTTTGGAACAGAGCTTGAAAAAAAATAATACTGCTGTCAGAGTTTTAATGTGATTTCTGCCGTCATTGATGATCTCAGCCCAGCTCTGTAAGTTTATTTGTAAAATGAATGTTGCTGAGCATGAAACAGCTGCAGAGGCTGCCTTTAGAGGCTGGGGAGCCTTGGGTCCTCTCTTCTTCTTTCTGTGTTTCCGTCTCCTTTAGGTTCTACTAGCCTCAAGGGCTAAATTCATGGCCTCCTTCAGCCCCTACAGCTACAACCGTGCCTCACAGGTGTTACTTGGTCTTCAGTTCTGTCCTTCTGTCAAGTCCTCAGCCCTCTTGGCTTCAACCCCACTTTTCTCTGGCTGCAGGCTTGCAGCCTTGATCCACTGATCTAGATCCTGCTCTCAGCTTCAGCCCTCTTTGTATCTCCTGTTTCTGGGCTTCTAGGCCCAGTCTCATGCCTTGTCCCAGCCTCTTAGGGCCCACACTAGGTTGCTCACAATCCGTCTTAGCTCACCTGGCATCCCTGGCCAAGGGCAAGGCTGCTCACAGTTCTGCCCAGCCCCTCCAGAGTACCTAGCTCAGGGCAAGGCTGCTCTCATCTCTTCCCTGCCCCACATGGCATCTCTGACCCAGGGCCAGGCTACTTTCGGTTCTGCCCAGGTCCCCCTCCACTCTCTGCGTCCCTGGCCCACAACAAGGCTGTTTTCCTGATATACTTGCCTATAGCCTTTTAATGGGGCTCAGCTGCCCACTTCTCAAGTGCTTCTGGTTCTTCTCCATGTCTTATGCCCTGCCCTTGGCAGAGCTCTAATCTTGACGTGCCCTAAAAAGCCTACCCAGCTCTGCATTGTTGCCTCACTCAGGCCATCTGCTCCCTTTTGTTTCCCTCTGGGCAGCTCCAGGGGACAGCTCAGGTGCCTCCTAGTCCATCTCAGGAGCTCCTCTCCTTTCCGCATGCAGGGCCAGACTGCCCCCTCTGGCTCAGGCCCTGGGCATACACCTGGAAGCCATGCCTTCTTTCTATTGCATGCCTTCCCCACACAGGAGTTTTCCCTGTTAATCAAGGGCCAGCCTGCACTCTTGCAGCTACAGCTCCACACAGCCAGTTTAGCCTGGTGCATCCTCTTAAAAGTCCCCTCTCCTTCCCTTCCATTGTACCTGAGTAACAGGGGGTTACTTGTGGGTACTCCTTGGTTGGAGAAAGCCTAAGGGATATCACCCTGACAGAAACCCACTCTCGCTGAGGCATTAGGCAGTCAGCAGCAGTTCTTACCTATTGGTTTCTGCAGAAACTACAGTCATTGAGGCACTGAATGTCTGGACTTAGTCTGGCCTTTGGGTTCTGTCTTAATGGTCTACAGGGGTGGTACTAGGTTTTGGGCAGCCTCTGTTCCTCCATGCTCTTGCCTAGGGACACACATCAAAGGTCTTGGTATGATGGTTGCAGGACTCTGTACAAGCAGATTCATCAGGCAACTGATTCGACCTCTTACGCAGCCACCAGGAACCAGAGGATCAAAGGTTGTCTACTATGGCCTTTCTCAAATGTGGCTTTGGAGCTTAGAAAAAGAATAATCCAAAACAAAATAAAAATCCTTCCAAAGTGGAGTGGATGCATAACACACTATTTTCAAACAATTAATGGGGCTAAGGCAGTATGCTCATTCTTTTGGCCCTGTGGGCCAGATGATGAGTGGGGCAGGGCTAGCCTGCAGTGGGCCAGGGCCAAGATTGGTCCCCAGGGGTCTAGCATTGCCCCCTTGCCCACACACTGGGATTGGAGCCTGGGCCCTGGCACCAACCCCTCCCAGCCCCATGCACCAGTGGACACCTGATCCAGTGTGCAGGGCATGGGACTTGCTATGGATCTGACAACTTGGCAGTAGGGGAGCAGTGCCACCTTTCTCCTGCTGCCAAATTTTCAGACCGGGGAGGTGGGCAGGAGGGGCTGGGCTGGATAAAACAGGGCTGTGGACTGGATCTGGCCTGCAGGCCGGGGCTTGATTACCCCTGGGATAAAGCATCCTTTTTACTATCAGATACTGGGATAACAATCTCACCTTACAGGAATGATTCCAAAACAAGAGATCACATCCCTTAAGAAAGGTATGTGTGGGATAATTGAATACCAGACACTCAATTATCCCAGAGAGGGTTGGTCCTGAAGTGGGCCATGGACAGTGTGGAGCCAATACAAAGTTGGATTGTGAGCCCTCAAGTGGATTCATTGATTAGACAGCATGGGAATCACCGCCTTATCATTTAAATTTTATGTCAAAGGTGAAGTACAAAAGGATTTGGAGACAGACTAGACATGATATCAAAAGCAAGTAAGAAAAATGATTTTTATAGCAACACTTTAAACTGACAAGGGGTGCATAATGTGATTTTTTTCCATATCAGTATCTTCTAATACCCATTCAGCTGCTGCTTCACTAGTTGCTATTTCTTGCATAAAAATTGAAGTATTTTTGTGAATACAAAAGCTTATAACAACATGCTTTCATGAACATGGAGGCATAGTAGATGAACAGTTAAAAGCAATTCCTTTCACTTTTCAAGAGATTAAACTACTCTAGCTTTCTTTACATAGGCTGAACCTGAGCATTCCTTGAGAATGAAATACACTGAGTCTTGAACTTTGGACACATGTGATTTATTAATATTTTGGAAATGGCCTGTAATTAGGATGCATATTGCTTAGGAGCCCAGTCCATTTCTCACAATAACATTGCTTTGACATGAGTATCGTTTTTCCCACAAATAATTCACTGTCTGATTATTCCATTGGCTATCTGCTCAAGTTCATATGATTTTGTTTTGTGGGTCTGTAAGACAAGAGTCAATGGTCTCACCTAGTAGTTACCATCTTGTAAGGAAAATGCACCTTCTTTTAGTGACATTCTTGTGTGGATTATGGTGTCCTTGACATTTTGGAATGACTGTACCTAGCAATGTCCCATCCCTTTCATACTCCTGCTAATGTGTACTGAGAATCTTCAAGTCTTTGGGGCTTGTTAAATGCAGCAATATATAGAATTTCATTCTTGCAAATTTCTGTCCTCCAGTATTTGCTTCTAGACAAGTATGAAGTCCAGAAATCCCCTCCTTTAGTTCCCTGCTATTATTTCTTTCTGAGATTATTATTGTTGCACTGTTTCATCTTACAAAATAATCAAGGCAATCCTGTATTCCTTGAATACCCACACCAAAAATTATTGGGGGGGTTATAGTTCACAAGAATTACAAGTCCTACTTCCAATTCTTTTTTTATTATTGCTTTAATTTCATCCTGCCAGAAGTGGGCCATGCACTCATTTTTTAGGCAGATCATGGCCTTATAAAAATGATACAAGTCAACTGTATTTCATCTGCTTAAATATATGGAAATAATAAATACATAATAAAAGTACTTGGAGGTCTGCCACATATGATACACCAAGATTCCCTGCATAGAGTGGTCATATTTTCAAAAACCACGAGTAAATTAGATGGTGCAATGAGCATTATATGGTATGTTTATTTGAGGATCTGCGCATAAATTTTGAAGTGCCTAAACACCATAAGCTAATTTCAAAAATAGAATGTAGGCTCCTAAATCACTTATGTACTTCTAAAATTTCTACTCCTAATCTCCAAATACATCCCTACATAGAAGCTACTGTATGGTACACTATGATGATAACAGCACATAGTCATTTAGTGCAATAGTTCCTTAATATGCTAGAAATTGTGAGAAAATTCAATGTACATGTAAAGTAAAAAGTTTTAAAAAATGATCCAGATACCTTTTTGTCTGTAAATAATCTTAACCATTAGCCTGTCTGGTTTACAACAGCTTAAGTAAAGCACTTCAGAGTATTGAAATGTGTAAAACAAAAGGAATTCCTGAAACCAATGTTCTTTTTAAGGAGCAGCAGAATGTTCTCAGGGCTTAGGTATTTATTGATAGCAAGAGGAGTGATATTAGAAAGTATTCACTGTAAGCAATAAGATATACTTTGCCTTGTTATTATTTTTTGAGTGCCCAGTTGTGTACTAGGTATTTCACCAAAATAAGTAAAGACACATCCCCTGCTTGGCAAAGCGTGCAGCCTAAATTCAGTATGACACAAGTGGGCAGAATAAATGAGCAGAAATGGCTGAGAGGAGAGGAAAGAAGGAGAAGAACGAGTGTGTAACAACAGGATCATACAGATACTAACAGAAGAGAGACAGATAAATCTCGTGGTGGTTTTTGTTTCACTTTTTGACTAACTTTTTTCATGGGTAAGATGGGAGAAGTGAATTTTCAGGATGAATTTGAATGAAATTACGGCTGCGGCATGCAAATGGGATTGGGGAAGGCAATGTATACATAAAGAACAGCATGGAAGAAGATGCAGATTTGCCTGTGGGAGATAAACAAAGGGGATATTGAGCCAGGCATAATTGGTGGAACAGCAAAATCACGGAGTAAATGAAAGGAGACCAGGCCAGAGATGTGACCAAAGGGCTGGATAATATGAGGCCGTAAAAGCAAGAAGGCAACATTTATATTTGATGCATACACAATAGAGACAGTGGAGTGACTCCAGTCAGGGGGAGATAAAAGGCATGAAGGATGATTCTGGCAGAGGCATCCTGAGTCAAGTGGTATGCAGTTAAATAAAGGAGGAGGCGGCTGCATACTTGAGGCAGGAAATGATTAGGGCATGGGTGAGCCATTTGAATGTTGGGACAGAAAAAATGGGTACTAAGATCTCTCTCTCTTTGTTTTCCTTCTCTGGAAAAAGCAAATAGTACCTCAGTGAATCAGTTCCAATTCTCTTGATAAACATTACAGATCCAAAACAACAACGCTGTTTTCCCTTTTTATTTGTTTCCCAGTAAGGCTGCAAGATGATTCAACATACAGAAGAGAAGTGAGTTATCAGTGCATTTAGACTGCTTAGTTTTTATTTGTGCATGTTTAGCAGTCACATCTTTGCCAGCAAAATACTATTACATAGGTGGAAGAGGCACACAAGTTTTTAAACTATATGTATACATTGTTAGAGTCAAAATATTCAGTTATAAAACTTCAGCCTGATACTTGATTTGTTACTGCTGTTGTTTTAACCTCAAATCCTTTTTCTTAGTCATAACAATAGGTCCCCCTAGTGGACAAAAAGCAGATACATTTTAGCCTGGCCATTCTTACCAATCCACTATAACCGAACTCGATTATCAGGTTAAAGTCCTCTTTCCACTTGTGCAAATTAATGGTGAAAAGACATAATTAATGTTTATGCAGCTCTTTGAAAATGGAAAACATTCTGTAAGTGATGTACACTTTTACTGAGTTGGCTCATTAACCAGTAATGTCACAACTCTTCCCAAAGCAGTATCTAATCCCTGTATTGCATCTTTACAAAACAAAAGGATGTGTTTTAGGTTTTTGTAAAAATGAGTCTGAATTTTATTATTTAGTTGTATAAAGCACATTTTAGGGTCACAATATTTAAGATATGTCTTACAGAAATAAATTAAGACACTGAGACCAGGTAAAGACATCACACGTTTATCAGTATAAGTGATTGGAAACCAGTCTATACACATAACAGAACAGAAATTCAGCACACACCGACTGGTTTAAAAGTGGTGGAACCCAATCTAAGATTTGCTCCCCTCACCAAAGGGTGGATGCGTGTTGTGTTTGCTGCTGATCTAAACGATGCCGCTTACAGACACCTGTGTAAATTAGGTGGATTCTGCCTCAGGCTTTTTGAATGTCTGCACCTAGCTTGGTACTGCCAGTGTAATAATCGTAGCCATTACAGCAGGGGCGGGCAAAATATGGCCCACAGGGTGAATCTGGCCACTGTGGGATTTTGTCCAGTCCACAACAGGTCCCTCAGTCCTGCCCAGCCTAGGTGTGGGAGACAACCTGGGCTGTGGCATGTGTGACCGGTCCCACTGCCCCGGGTGTGCATCAGGGCTGACATGGTGCAGCAGCTGGACTATTTCCCAGCAGCCCTGGTGGTACAGGCCCTTCCAGCTGCTGCCACGGCAGGATCTGAGCCTGCTGCATGGGCACCCTGGCCTGTCTGCCCCCCAACACACTGCTGTGCGCAGGACCTGCACAGGCAGAGCACTTGGCCGGGCAGCTGGGATGAGGCCATGGGAAGGTGGGGCTGGAGAGACTCTGGGATCTTGAGGCAGTGACAGTGCAGGGCTGGCGCCTGAGCAGAGCTGCAATCTTCTGCCCGCTCACCCCTGCAACAGGTGTGGGTTATGCGGACAGGGGCGTGCAGGGAGTATATCGCGGCTCTGCCGCAGCCTGGCCCTGTGCTATTACCACCCCAAGATCCTAGGGGCTCCATGGAGACCAGCTGGGAGCCACGCAGGCAGGGGATGTGGCTGGGCAGATGGGATGGGTCTGTGGGGGGATAGGGAGCTCCATCCAGGAGTGGGGTAGATGGGGCTGGGATCTTGAGGCAGTGACAGTGATGGGCTGAAGCTGGGACAGAACTGTGATCCACTCCCTGTATGCCCCTACCCGCAGAACCGGTGCCCATTACAGGGGCGTGTGGGCATTGGTTCTGCCCCAGCCCCATGCTGGCACCACCCCATGACCCACCCCATGATCCTGGCCTTACATGCCTGTCCTGCACCCTGTCTGCCCGCAGCCCCATCCCATGGAAGGAGTTTTGGTGAGCTGTTGAGGGGGGCGGATGCTGACCCAGCCCACGACAGCTCAGCAAAGCCCCCTATGTGGCCCGCAGGCCCAAATAATTGGCTGCCCCTGCATTACAGCTGTAATTAGTTTGTGCTTACAGCTCAAGACCTCAAAACCTGTTTTAGTAGGTTAGGAAATCTCACCCAAGTTATCTTCAGCTTTTCTAAAAATACCAGGGAATTATCTGACTTGCACCTGGATTAAGGAAGTGACTTCTGTATAATGCACCATTCTAGGAACAGAATTTCTAACAGTGTTAACATTCCTCACCCCTACCCAGCACAGCATTCAATATGAATGCCAACCCTGGAGTAGATCTATGACCCATATCATTTTGACCTACAGCTGCTTCCTGTATTGTTCCCCGCCCCACCATCTCCTGTCTGATTTAAATCAATTAACAGCTTCTCACTGTCAGGTTTTTTTTCCACACAGTAACTACAAATTTCTTCACTACTTACATCCTCCAGGTGTTTTGCTCTATTCTTTTTTCTTTGTCTTATTATGGCAGTTCCAACCTGTATTTTGCTCCCTTTATCTCCCATGAAACAGTAGAAAAAACTTGAGTGTTTTAATGGCAAAATTAGCTCTACTTAGTATCTGATAATAAAGACAACTGGCACATGAATACCTCTTCCCTATCCTACTTCTCAGTTACCCCCCTAATATAATCCTTAGGCCTTCTACTGCAGCAAACCTCCTTCCAGGAAAAGGCTAGGAACAATGCCTGCTAATGCTATGGTCAAGCCAAAGAAGGCTGTTGAATGCAGCATAAAATGTGTCAAGTATGCCAACCTGTGGCTCTTACGCAAGCTCAAATTCCTAAATGTAAATGCAGGTGCTTTCTGCTTGTAGACGTCCATGTGGCTTGGGGCATTAAAATCGAAATGCAAATTCAGTAACTAACTGTATGAAATACTATATTTATAAGATGATTGAACACTGAGATACTGAACTTAACTGAAATGTTTAAAAAGAAACTTCTGCAAAACAGAAGAGTCCATCTTATTTGTAAGATGTTTTCAAGCTGCTAACAGATTTGCCACCTGTTAAATGTAACCCTTCTTGCTAAGCCTCTTCTGTAAAAATTCCTAAAGAAAGGTGATTTTAGAAGACCGAGCACCAAACAGTGCTGATCCAATCTTATACCTACCAGTAAAATAGAGTCTGCTCTACCAACAGTCACAAAAGTCAGGGAATAAAACCTTTTCAGTAATTCTTTTATTGTCAAAATAATGCTTTCTGGCTTTGAACTGCTTGGCAAACAGAATCAGAGTATAAATGTGTAAGGTGGGAAGTATCTATTTCTCGATCTTGGTCTTTTTGCCTCCGCAGCGTAAGGGGAAAGTATAAAGGTAAAAACTGCACGTGGCATTCCAAATGTAATCTTTCAAGGTGGATTCCCACGAACTACTTGATATGTATTCTGAGGAACTATCACATGCAACAGATGATCATTTGCTAAAATGATCAATTTGCTTGGCGTAGCAACTGAGTTTTCCCAAAAGAGGAACCGCCTTTGCTTTGGTTACAAAAGTTTCTGATTCTCTCAGCATTTATAAGACTTCCAGTGCTTTCCTATTCATCTACATTATTGTACTGAAATTGTCCAATAGGATTGGTACAGGTTTTCCCTTGATATAACTTGGAGATGGTACAAGAGCTCGAAACACTGACCTCTCTTTTTTCTCTGAGGGACCATTTTCCTTTTGTTACTGAATGATGAAAACCTTCTCAACATCCCTGCAGACTTACTTCAATGGCAATTATCTCCCAGCAAGACTGGTACAGAAAACGACCTCTGGAAAAGTTTTGCTTGCGACAGCCAGTATCTGATAGAACTCCCGACCTAATGTAAAAGTCAAAGGAAACGCATTGCTCTTGCTTCAGATATGGCTGATTCTAGAGCAAGAGAAGGTGAATTCATCTATATAGTAGTCACCATTAAAAGTCTAATTTACCAGTAGCTTCCACAGTGTAATACCTGGAAAAAAATGTCCCCGTTCTAGACAGAAATCTCAAAAATGTAAATAGGAATTAGAGTATTCTAGAAACCTGTGCATTTCAGTGTTGCTGACTCCTGTGCTTTTATGAATTTTGGAATATGAGTGTATTTTTTTAAAGTTTCAACATATGCAGGTTGAGAAAAACATCTCAAAACCAGTGCTTTGGGCTTCATGGCGGTCTCACAGAGTAACTTCCACATTGTCAAGGATATATAGATACCTGGATCTACCTTCTCCCCATCTGATCAGAGCAGAACAGGATAAAAATCTGGGAGCTTGAAACAAGTTCTTTTGATAGGAGCGTCAGGAAACCATA